CATCCCCAAGAAGGATTATATCCCAAAGAAGCATCCAAAAACGACAAAGAAGGAAAATACTTGGCTTTAAAAAGCTGGTATAGCAGCCCATGTTTCTGGATCTGAAAATGCCAAGCATGCTTCACTAAAAGAGCTAAATTGAAAGCCTCTAAATCGCGAAATCCAAGACCACCCAACGGTTTACTCCGGCATAGTAGATTCCAATGAATCCAATGAATTGCCCAAGATTTATCTTTATCACACCACCAAAAAGAACAAATATGCTTCATCAAATCTTGGCACAACGTAGTGGGAAGCTTAAAAGAAGACATGACATACGTAGGCAAAACACTCAATACTGCCTTAATTAACACCTCCTTCCCATTCGTGGACAAAGATTTCGCCTTCCGAAAAGATAACCGGTCCTATATTTTAGTCAGTAAGAATTGAAACACATCCCACTTGGAACATCCCAAAATGGCCGGCACCCCAAGATACCGACTATGAAACCTCGACAACGGCAATCCCAAAGAACTACTAATAGATCGCCTCAAGGACATAGGAGCATTTCATGAGAAAAAAAACAGAGGATTTACTAAAATTCACTTGTTACCCAGAAGCGTGTTCATAATCTGCCAAAATATGTTGTAGCACAGAAACTTCCTCTGAATCAATAGCACAAAACACAATAGAATCATCAGCAAAAAACAGATGAGACATGGACGGAGCGTCCCGACAAATACGAACACTAGATAACAACCGAGCTTATTGGGCCCGCAAAATAGCCAGCGAAAGAGCTTCAGCACAAATAATAAACAAATATGGGGATAGAGGATCGCCTTAACGCAAACCCCTGAACTGTTGGAAAAAGCCCACAGAACGCCCATTAATTTTCAAAGAGTAAGAAACCGTGGAAATGCAGGCTGTGATCATGTGAATCCAATGGGCATTCAAGCCCAACTGGGCCAGCATAAGAATTAAGAAATTCCACTCAAGCCGGTCATAAGCTTTACTCATATCAAGTTTCAAAGCCAACTACGTCTTGCCCTTACGCTTATTTTTTAAATAGTGTAAAATTTCATGAGTAACTAAAATATTATCAGTAATATGACGACCCACCATAAATGCACTTTGAGAATCACTGATAAAGGAGCCAATGATCCCTTTCAAACAGTTAGTCATTATTTTCGCAATAATGTGATAAGACACATTACATAAAGAAATGGGTCTGTAATGACTAACCTGGATCGAAGAGGAAATCTTAGGAATTAAAACAATATTAGTGTGATTAAAACTGGATAGCAAGTTCCCCGTAGCAAAAAAACTAGAGACAGCCCCAACAATATCCCTTTTAATGATTTCCCAATATTTCTGATAGAATAGCGGTGTCATCCCATCCGGTCCAGAAGCCTTCATCGGTTGCATGGAAAAAAATAGCCTGCTTTACCTCCAATTATGTCGGAGGTAACAACAGATCAGTGTTCATCTCAGTAGAAATCCGGATAGGCATATACCTCAAAAATTGCTCAATAGTCGAAAGATGGGAAGACTGAAACAATCCTTGAAAATAACTCAGAAAGACCGACTGAACTGCCGTCTCCTTAACCACCCATTGATGCCCAGCATCAAAAACTCCCAAAATGGTATTGCAGCTTCGCCGCCGTTTAGCAGTGACATGACAAAATTTAGTATTACAATCCCCCTCTTGTAACCAAAGAAGAAGAGACTTCAGTGTCCAATACAATTCTTCCTCCGACTAACAGGACGTTAAAGCATTTTCCAATTAAACCACTTCAGCATGGCAATAATTAGAAGTGCGAGCTCGCAACTCGTGAAGCCTAGCCACTGTACGATCAATTTGAGCTTAGGAATTAAGATTATGATGCTTAGCCCAATGAATGAGATCAGCCTTACAATGCTGTAATTTCTTAGCCCACTGAAATTGAGCCGAACCACTAAGCGGAGTAGACCAAGCCGAATCAATAAGCTACCGACGGTCATCCAAGAATGTCCAACGAGCATCAAAGTGAAATTGCCATTTTCGAGACCGACGCTCAGGCACAAGGGTCAGAAGCAAGGCATAGTGATCAGAGCCTATCACAAAAAGATGGGATAATGTAGCCCGAGGAAAAGTAGAAAGCCAATCCTTAGTCACTAACGTATGATCCAACCGTTCCTGAATATTAGCGAACCCATCTCTCTGATTAGACCAGGTAAATGGAAAACCCACATACCCAATATCCACCAAAGCACAACGATCAATCAGTGTACGAAAAGACCGAAGTTGCCACCCACGCCTAACTCAGCCCCCATGCTTTTCGGATGGATGCAAAATATCATTAAAATCCCCAATAAAAATCCACCAACCCGACCAAAAGTGGGCACTATGCATAAAATACTCCCATTGCGGCGCCCGTTCCCGTTCAACCGTACTGGTATATAGAAGAGAAAAATACCAAGGGAGTTGATTAAGGGACAGAACAGCAGTAGTAATAGAAAAACAAGTTTTATCGACCATCCTTAGCTGAACATTATCAGTCCACCAAAGGGTAAGAGCACCGGCAATCCTGTTTGGTTCAACCACACACCCATGAGAAAAGCCCAACAACCGTTGCACAACCAAAGTCCGTCGCAATGATTTGGTTTCAAGAACACCAAGAATATCCGGGCAATATTGATATTTTAAACATTTAAGTTGCTGAACTGTAGAAACAGACCCCAAACCACGGCAATTCCAAGCAATAATATTTGGACTAACATTATGAGAATTAGAAAAACAAACAGGGAGAGCAGTAGAAGGCGAAACAAAAGAATCAAGGTGCCGTAGCCGACCAGAGGAACTCTCTATATGAGGCCGGGAAGAAGAACCCCGCTGGGAATGCATGAACTCGTGAGCCATCACTGGAAATAAACGGCCAAGTAAAAAACGTGGACCGACAGACCACAGCCCAACAACCCAACAACCAAAAGCCCATGCCACAGAAATGAGGTCGAGAAGCAATCGAAGGCAGCCAAAAATGGATGAACCAGAAGACACCACGTGGCCACCCCGGAACCACAAAAGCAATGCCGTAGACAACCCCACGGCCAAGCAACACCACCGTCCGATCCACTCCAGCCGACCCCGAAAGCAAGCCAAAAAGCACAAAAAAACACCACGCGGAGAAATAGTCCCACAGACCAATCCCCAACACACCAAATCACAAACAACCAATAAGCCGTAGGCTGTGCGAACCCCCGTACCAAAGTAGTTCAGCCAAAATTGGATGAACAAACCCCAGACGAACAACCCCAAAAATGGAACAAGCAAATCCCCGAGCGTCACAACGAGCAAACCTAGAAGAGCACACAACCACAGATTTGGAACCACATGAGCATCAACGTGAAGATCTGAACTACAAACCCACTCACGTGGCGTGAACGAACAAAAGAAAATGAGACGCACACACTCTCATGAAAAGAAAGAACTCTCACGGACGGAGAGAACGTTGAAAGACCAAACTGAACCTCCCAAAAATTTCATATTTAAGCATTCCTTTTAGGATCTAACATCTTCCCTACACGTAACCATACTCCGGAATCTATTAAATTGGTTCTCACAGTAGTTAGTAGTTATACACATTTATGGTCCATATATTTCCATAAGTCAGACTTCCTTAGGAGACATAACATACCACAAATTTAATGGCAGGTGGCAACCCCATAAACTAATAGGCCATATCCATGGTATTTGGCCATGGCCTTTTGTTGTATTAAGCCCCCTATTTCCCTCAAGTGAATTTGTATAGTCATCTTAGAGGCTAATCCTCCATTCTTCCGAGGTAATGTAGGAAACGTGTCAAAAGACGAAAGGTGCAAAATCTCGGTTGCAACAATGTACTCAAATGACACATACACTGGCAACAAAGGCATGCATATACAACCAAACACACACGAATGATAGAACGTCATCAGTGCATGCATATACCAACAAAACACTAATCATGTCAATATATAACACATACATAAACCAATAATTTTATTACTTAAAAAACCCTGATTAGGTTTAAAATTAGCACAAACTGAAAACAAAACTTAATTAAAGACCATATTGGGCTCCAAAAATCGGTTGATTATAACAAAAGCTCTATTTTTTTCTGGAGTATGAAGGACCCACATAGAATTTATGAAACAAGTGGTTGACTCCTTTATTAAAGAAAGGATATGAAAAATAAGCCGGCAACAAGAATCTCGACTTTAAAAATTATAAAAAAAACAAAACAAATCATATAGGACTCACAAATTTGAAATAAAAAATCCTAATTTTTAAAAACATACCGGTGCGCTTGGAATCCACAACATGCTTAGAAGAAATCCTAGTAGAATAACCACAAATCGCTACGAATTCAATAAATATGCACAAAGAGAGATTGTGTATATGTAGAGTGACTGGAAAAGTAGAAACAAGACCAGAGGGGTGGTAAACAAACAATAAAGGGTTATATATTCACATTATAGGGGCATTTACAGAAAAAATTATTGCATTGTCAAGCCCAATAAATATATATATATATATATATATATATATATATATATTTTTTTTTTTTTTTTCAGAGGGCCAATCAATACTTAACACATCAACAAAATGTGTCAGAATGGTGTAAGATTTATTCAATTTTTGCTGATGTGTCAAGTACTGGTTGGCTGAGACCAATAATTTCAAGATTATGTAACAATTTCTAAGTGTTTAAGAGAAGACATGAAAATAAATCATTTTATAAAATTGGTTCCACTTACTTTTGAAAATCGCTCTATTATTACAAAGAAATTTAAAAAATGGTATAAATTAATTTGGTCCTCCAAATACCAAATGGTCGAGAATCATTTAATAATTTCTCAGCAACTAATTGCGATTTTCATTGGTTTTATAGTAATGCGTCCATTTAAACGATAAACTAATTTATGTACCTATTATTTTTTCAAGGGTATTAGAGTAATTTAATTTATTATCATTATTATTATTTTTTGGCCTCAAAGGTCGTTTAATTCTCTCTGATATCTCACTCATTTTCTCTCCCGTCCCTCACTGATCTCTCTCTCGGCGCAACTCCAAAGCCCAAAAAGAGGTTGCCTACGGTCTAATCGAGTCCCTAACCGGTCTCTATCAACGACGATCGATAGCTGCATCCCCAAACCCTTGAAAAGGTACTGCATTAAAACCCTAGAAATTGTTGTATCTAATTAAACCCTATAAATTGGGACAAATCGAGTCCATCACCGATCTCTGTCACTCTGATCACGATCTTATCAGACAGTAAAAGATTTGGTCCTTAACAAAGGGATCAGTGGTGTGCTACTTTATTCTTAGCACCTAAGACCTTTTGTTTACACATCAGAATCTAAACCAATCTCTAGGGTTATCATACAGCAAAAAAGACGAGGCAAAGGAATGTGTCTTTGCTGTTTGCATTTTGGAAATTTGTATTAAGGCGTGTTCTGTTGATAAGTTGAGAGCGTACAATGTTGCCAATTTGCCATCTTGTTAAGTTTTTTGTAACTCTTTGATCCTTATATTTGAAATGGTTTTGATGATATTAGTACTTTGGAGATTATGTCATTTCGTTTTATGTACATATAGGGTTTGTATAGTGTTCTATATACATATTTGGTTTGGACATGCCAGTTGTTGATGTATACCGGACAAGGTTGTTTGACAAAAAGGAATATTAGAACCATATTCCTAATAGTCTAAAGGTTTCTTGGGATGCTTTCTTGATAAAAAGCAAAATTAGAACCATTTGACCCACAACAGTTCCTGATTAATTGAAGTATTCATGTTTCCTATGGTATATAGGCACTCTATTTACCATAGGGCATAAAAAGGTATAAATTGGATATCTTACAATTTCAAGTACATTAAAACTGGTTGTAGCTTATCAGTGTAGTTGGATTAAAGTCTATACGCTTAAATAAATGAAATTTGAGCTCCATATCAATATTCTTTTGGTCTTAAACTTTGTAGTACCACACATGCTTTTCTTCACCTGATTAGGTTTTATCACATCATGTTGCTTTCCTTAGTTTATCCTTTCTAACAGTTCATGGGCTTCTGAGTAGTGATTGCTATTATGACATGTTGCTGTTTTTCTAGTATTATTACTAACTATTTGATCAAATGTTTTGTCATTGTTTATGCAAACTAGAGTCAATGGCAGGGTCTGGGAGTTCCATGTTATGTTCTTTGCTTCTATTCACTGTCATTCTCTCACTTCAAGAAATGTATAGAGGGAAGTTAGCATCGTCAGAGTTATTCACCATACTTGGAGGGTTCACCAGTTCCCTCTTATTCCTAATGTTGCTAACAGTGAGTTCAAAATGCTTCTTTAAATGCTCCTCAATGGTTCTTTATCATGTGTGCTTCTACATTGATACATGAGCGTTGCACTGTTCGAGTTTATTCTGTTATATGATTGATTGATGATTTAAATATAAGTAATTTATTGTTTCATTAGATTTTTCATTCACTTACATCATTCTACATATTGGTCTTTTACATCATTAGGAACTCCAATCACACAATTATTTTTCACCACTCCAATTTATTGGAAGCCACATTCAACTTAGGCCAAATTAGTTGTTTCTTGTGCTTTATATCATTTATAATAATTATAATAGTCAAATCCTAAGTGGATCTGCTAATGAAAGTACTAGAGAGTCAGAAGCAGTCTTATTTGGAGGTTGCTCGTTTACCTCGTCTGGACCTAAAAGGAGAGGTGGAACGGATTCCTTCCTCGAGGGATCATGTGTTTAGAGTGGACACTCGCAGTACTTCCTCTCGAGAACGTGTTCTTAGGGCTTGTCTGGTTGGGAGATTTGACAGAGAGGTGGGGTCTTTGGAGAACATTGAAGATTGGGCTACGAAGACTTGGTTGATTTTGGGAGGAGTTAGGGTTAATTCTTTGCCGGACGGACTTCTGTTGTTCCGGTTCCCGTCAGTGTTGGAGGCCCATAAGGTTCTGGATTGGGGCAAGAAATCTTGGGGTGAGGCTCAACTTCTTATTGATCCCTGGTACTTTAGGGTTGGGTGTTCTGGTTTGAGATTGAGGCACAAATTCCGGCGAGTCATTCTGTATGGTCTGCCGCTGCACCTTTGGTGTCAGAAGCTCTTCGTCGCCATTGGTGACGCATGTGGCGGGTTTAGAGATGTGGAGGCCTTTGAAATGAGTGATACGGAAAGAATTGTGATCACTGTGGCTGGGGGTGGTGTGATTCCGGCGAGTGTGGTTGTGGAGGATGGAAGATGGGCGTTCAGAATTTCGCTATCTGAAGAGATTGATCCGACAATGGTTCCGCTGACTGGGACAAGTTCCGGAAAAGGTGATTCGGGCTCACCGGAGGCGTTGGCTTGCATCTCTCGTTCGGTTTACAGTCATGGAGGTGGGGATGGATCTAAGCCGGATTTCCAACAGATGGAGGTGCAGAGTAACCGGATCCAAGGTCAGGGACGTGTGAAAAGCCACGCGCCTAAGGCAAGTGGAAATGGGAAGGCTTCGTCTGGGACACGTGGTTGGAGGAGAAAGGATAACCGTTATGAGTGGATGACAGCTACCCTTCCTCGTGCCGAGTCACGTGCTTCTTTTGATTTTTTAAACTCAACTTCTTTTGGGCCGGATGGTGTTGGGCCTAGATTACGTGGGACTCATGCAGCGGGATCAAAAGTCACTGGGAAGGATTCTAATGCGTGGGGTGGGCCTGGGTCATCCATTGGGCCCAGGCGGTTCATTAAGTCTGTTAAACGAGATGGACGATCTAAGCAATCTGGGCCTCTCTTTTCCTCTGGACCGGTTCAGGTGAAGACAAGAGTGGATAAAGGAAGGTTGGTTAAATGGGGCCCAAACAACCATCTCTCAATTTCCTTCCACAGTGGGCAGCCCATCACATCTTTAGAAGCAGGTCAAAGCCATGGCATTCCAGAACCTGACTTGGTTACGTCACAGAGAGTTTTGACCTCACGTGCTTGGTCGAGGAAGGAGAAGGCGAATTGGGTGAAGGTGAGTTCGAAGGTGTTAAAAGGGGCTGGGGCTAGCTCAAAGAACTTCTGGCATGGGTCGTGCTGTCAGAATCGACTCTTGGGTAACAGATTTGAGATTCTTCAATCTGGATTTTTGGGAGATGACGAGAAAGGCGAATGTGTCTCCATTAAGAAGGATATTACATCTCAAAGTTTGCCGATAATTCCCAGTAAGAAATGGACTAGGAAGGACAAACAGAAATGGGTGGCCCGTAAGGTGTCTCATTCGTGCCCAGGTATGTCGAGTTCCTTTCATGCTCGGAAATCTGCATCTTCTTCTATTTCTGCTTCTACTCCCTCTTGCGAGTTGAATAGTAAAGGGGGTAAGATTGTTGATGGGAGGCATCATTTGCTTTCACCTGTTGTTGAGGCTGACTTGGTGGAAGGTTTGATCTCTACGGTTGGCTCGGAGTTTGGGATTGTTGGGCCGTCAGAAAGGGATGGGACGGTTTGCTTGTCTGGTGACAGGGATGTGGATCGACACTCTGTAGGGATCGCTGAGACTTGTTCGGAATTTTCCTCAGCCTCTAGATATGATTCTTCGGGGGAGGAGATGGGGAGGGCGGCTAAGTTTCGTTTGGGTGGATCGGAAGGGGTGTGTTCTTCTTTTAAAGGTGATCCAGTGGCTTGTCTGAAGGATCTTGTGTCTGATGTGGTGACTGTTTGTGTGGGTAAAGATATCCGCATTTTCCCTCAGCGAGGAATCAGCTTCTCTTTTGGTGAAGGAGTTGCAGAAGCACAGATTTTCGATCGATGACCATACTGTTGATTGTAACCCGGTCCCGGTCACACAAAGTGATGTGTTGGATTTTAAAGAGGACTGGTTATCATCTGTTGATGAAGCTGTGGAGGCCAAGGGAGGTATGGCAGATGGGAGCAGAATGGATCATGGGAGTTCTCTGGATATGATTTTGTGGGAGGAGGAGGGTTTTGCTAATTTGGGGGTGGTGGACCCTTTGGCTGTAGTTCATCCAGAGGAGATGGGCAACAAGGTGTGTAGGCAGGAAGGTGAGGACACTGGATTGGATTGGGTTAAGGCTAACATTGGGGCTACTTGTGATCTACTGGGTGTCTCATGCAAAGGAAAGCGTGATCAAGCCTTAACAATCTTTCAGGCCACGGCAGAGGGGAGAGAAGGGGAGATGATTCAATTTTCCAGAAGGAGGAGTAGGAAGAAGAAGAACCTGACTCCGGGAAAAGGGGAAAGGGAGCTTAGAAATCTGTGCTGTGATGTGAATTATGATAGGGTGAGTTGGGGGGGGGGGGGGGGGGGGGGGGAAGGAGAGGGGTAATGCTAAGGGAGGAGGGAGGGGTAAGGGGGTGAAGGGGATGATTGTTTCCTCATGAAGTTTTGAATTTTATTGTGGAATGTCCGCGGTTTGAACGATCCGGGCAAGCGCAGGGTGGTGAAGATGGCAGTGAGGAAACGGGGGGTGCACTTGGTGTGTCTTCAAGAAACAAAGATTGATTCTTTGTCTGATCGTGTGGTGAAAAGTCTGTGGGGCAACCGCTTTGTTGAATGGGAGGCATTGGATGTTGTTGGGACTTCAGGAGGTGTTCTTATTATGTGGGATAGGAGATGGCTGACTAAAGTTGATGTCTGCTGAGGGAGATTTTCTTTATCTTGTGCTTTTGTGATGGAGGAGGATGGCTTCACTTGGGGTTTTTCTGGGGTGTATGGGCCGGTTGATGATGTTGTGAGGGATGGTTTGTGGGAGGAGTTGAGTGGGGTGAAGGGGAGGTGGTCTCTTCCTTAGTGTGTGGCAGGAGACTTTAATGTGGTTAGATCCCCGGAGGAGAGGTCTACAGTTGGCCTGTGGACTCAGGCTATGATGCACTTTTCTGATTTTATTGATGGCCACCAGCTTATTGATCCCCCTTTTGAGGGAGCTTCCTTTACTTGGTCCAGTGGAAGGGAAGTTCCAACTTTCTCTCGCATTGATAGATTTTCGATTTCAGGTGAATGGGAGGAGAAATTCTCGGATGTTGTTCAGGCAGTTTTGGCTAGGGTGACGTCGGATCACATTCCCTTGGTTTTGGACTGTGGAGGTTTGAGATCTTGCAGTACTCCTTTCAGATTTGAGAACATGTGGCTTCGTGTGGATAACTTCCAGGAATTTGTCCATTCTTGGTGGGAGGAGAATCTAGTGGTGGGTACATCGAGCCATATTCTTGCCGGAAAGCTTTGAATCCTGAAAACAAATCTTAAAAGGTGGAATAAGGAGGTGTTTGGGAGCTTGGTGTGGAGGAAGAATAGGGCTTTGGCTGATATTGCGGAGATTGATCGATTGGAAGGGGAGGGTGCTATTACGGAATCTCAACGCAGTAGAAGAGCAGCTTGCCAGGCAGAATGTGTGGAGATTGCTCTTTTGGAGGAAATCTCGTGGCGTCAGAAATCTCGGGCATTATAGCTCAAAGAGGGGGATCGTAATACGAAGTTTTTTCACAGAACTGCTAATGCTAATAGGAGGAGTAATCATATTGGGCGGATGTGTGTGGATGGTGCAGTTTTGTCTTCGGAGGAGGAGGTGCGAAGTGCTATTGTCTCTTTCTATCAAAGACTTTATTCTGAGCCTCTTCGTTGGAGACCTCGTCTAGATGGTCTTCACTTCGATTCTATTTCTGCCTTGGAGAGAGATGGGCTGGAAAATCCTTTTTCGGAGGAGGAAGTGCTGAAGGCTTTAAAGAGTTGCAATGGTGATAAGGCTCCAGGTCCTGATGGTTTCAGAATGAGATTTTTGTTGGAAAGCTAGGAGGTGGTCCGGTACGAGATTATGGGCACTTTTCATGAGTTCCATTGCACGGGGCGATTTGAGAAATCGCTTAACGCATCTTTTATTGTCCTTATTCCTAAAAAGGGTGGTGCTTCTAATATCAAGGATTTTAGACCCATTAGTTTGATCGGGTGCATTTACAAGATCATTGCAAAAGTCCTTGCCTTTAGATTGAGGGAGGTCCTGGATGGAGTTATCTCTGAGTCTCAGAATGCTTTCGTTGGGGGTAGACAGATTCTGGATTCCGCTCTTATTGCTAGCGAATGTGTGGATTCTAGACTTCGTAGTGGGACTCCTGGTGTTCTGTGCAAGCTGGATATTGAGAAAGCCTATGATCATGTTTGTTGGAATTTCCTGTTCTATCTGTTGGAGAGGATGGGTTTTGGTGAGAGATGGAGGAAGTGGATTGTTTCTTGTGTTTCCACTGTCAGGTTTTCGGTGTTGGTGAATGGCTCTCCTTTGGGGTTCTTTGGCAGTTCTCGTGGGTTGAGACAGGGGGATCCTCTCTTCCCTTTTCTT